TCACACCAGACCAACATTCTTCTGGAGTAATTCCTTCTAGCTTCTTTGTAGGACATCTGTTCAAAATGTATGTTGCAGTCGAAACAACTTCACCCCAAAACTCTTTAGGTAAATTCTTGCCTTTCAACATACTTCTCACCATATTCATGATGGTTCGATTTTTCCTTTTTGCAATTCCATTTTGTTATGGAGTATAGGGTGGCACCACCTCATGCATAATCCCTTCCTTTTCACATAATCTATCGAAGTCTTTCGACACATATTCTCCACCACCATCAGTTCTCAAAACTTTGAGCTTTCGACCACTTTGTCTTTCGACCATAGACTTAAACTTGGTAAATACTTCGATCACTTCACTTTTCTTCTTGATCAGGTAAGTCTATAGCTTTCGACTGAAATCATATATGAATGTAACAAAGTATTTGTTACCTCCCATTGAATCCACCTGGATTGGTCCACATACATCAGAGTATATGACTTCAAGACTAGCCTTCGATCTGCTTCCTGCATCCTTGCTGAAGTTATTCTTGTGTTGTTTCGCCTGCACGCATTCCTCACATACCTCGTTTGGAATGTCAATTTCTGGCAATCCTGAAACCATATTTCTTCTCTTCAAATCTCTGATGTCTCTGAAGTTGAGACGGCCTAGTCTATAATATCATATCCATTCATCTCTGCTAACTGCAGTCGAAAGGCACTTGTGCTCCATCACATTTAGTTCAATCTTGAAGGTTCGATTATGAGACATAGGAGCCTTCAAGATTAATCTCCCATTTGCATCAACGACTCTCATCATCTTATCTTCGATTGACACTTTATAATTCTTTTCGACCAACTGCCCTATACTGAGCAGATTGCTCTTCATGCCTGGTATGTACAACACATTGGAGATTACTGACTTTTTGCCATCTTTCCTCATAATCATAACATCACCAATACCTTCAGCTGCTAGGGTATTGTCATTTGCAAATTTTACCATATTTTTCATTGAGGGCTTTATATTTATGAACCAGTCTTTCCTTCCAGACATATGTGATAAATATCCTGAATCCAAGTACCATTGGTCCTTGAATCTATCTTCATCTCTTGTTGTGACCATCAACATCATCTCTTCTTCTTCTTCTTCATGTTTTGCAAGCTTTGCATCACTTTCTTGATTCTTTTGTTTTTCTGGACAATCACTCGAATAATGACCATACTTCTGACAATTGTAACATTGAATGTGACTCTTATCAGGTTTTCGACCACCACCTCTTCCTTTATTTGCAACACCACCTCTTTGGTTGCCTTGGTATGGTCTTCTTTGATTCGACACGTCTCCTTCAATTTGGTTTCCTCTACCATTCGATTTGTTGTAGCCACCTCTACCTCTGTCGAAACACTTTCCTTTGCCTTTGGTCTCTTTTGCTGAATGTGCCTGCAAGGCCACATCACTCTTCGATTTTCCTGCAGCTATTTCGTTCATTCTTTGTTCATGAGATTCAAGCGTCCCTTGAAGCTCTTCCTTTGTCAATTTCGACAAGTCTTTCCCCTCTTCTATCGCCACCACTATGTGGTCGAACTTAGGAGCTAAAGATCTCAAGATCTTCGACACAACAGCTCTTGTTGTTAACGTTTCTCCACATATCTTGATTTGATTTACTAGTTTTGTAACTCTAGTGAAGAAATCAGATATGCTTTCACTGTCTTCCATCTAAAGCAGCTCATAGGTCCTTTTGTGAGTTTGTAACCTCATTTCTTTCACTTTCTCAGCGCCTCCAAAAGACTTCTCAAGGATTTCTCAAGCTTCTTTTGCAGATTCTGAATCACTAATCTTTTCGAAATTGTCCGGGCTGACACATTGATGAATTATAAATAATGCTTTATAACTCAGCTTCTCAGATTCTATGTATTTCTTCTTTTCTTCTTCTGAAGCGTTTTCTCCAAGCGCTTCGACTCTATCTTTTACAAGGTCCCAAAGACCTTGACACCTGAATAAGACTTTCATCTGTTTGCACCAATTCTCATAGTTGTCAACTTTCAGAATTGGTAGGGTTGCTGGATAATTTGCATTTCCATAACTTGTCATCGTGAATTCTTCAATTGTTCTTGATTGACACTTCCCTTGAATCGAAACAAAGCTCTTGATACCAGATGTTGGAAATCCACCAAATTCTATGATGAATTTCTACCACAATGACGATTAGTTATGAGAAAAACAAAGAAAAGAAGACAAGACAATTATTTCTGCAGAGTTCCTCTCTGCTCACAAACTGTGAAAAATTTATTATTCACTTTGCAACTGTAAAATACTGTGAATGACTTGCTTGATTTGCTTACAAAAATAGGGGTTACTCCCTCTATTTATAACTGAGCTTACACCCTAAACCCAAAGCCCAAAATATCTTTTTGTTATTAAATCAAATCTAATTTATTCTAGACTTAAATCAAATCTATTTAAATCTAAAACAAATCAAATCTTTTCAACACATAGTTTCGACACATTGAATTACAATTTAACAATAATCTACTAGGAGAAGTGATCGAAGATATTCTATGAAGAGGGAAGTTGCAATGATACCTAAAAAGATTGATATGTCTAACAAAGAAGGAAGTTTCTAATTATAATAGCAATAATATTTTATTTCTTTCCATGTTTTCTATATATCATTTTATCAATAGCTGCTTACTAAGAGTGAAAAAAATCAGATTGAAGAAACTGGAGGAGCTATGCAAGACCATAGAGTCTATGTCAGTAAAACAATAATCTATGACAATGTGCAATGTGTTTACTATCTTGGCCTATTCAATTTACTGTCGCTAATAGTGAAATAAAACCGAGATTGTAACATTATTTTAGCTTTGCCATTTATAACATAATTATGGAAAAGAATTTTAGTGTGGTGGAAGATTTTTTTATATTTTATGCTTGAATGAAGGATTTCGAAATGCACAGCTTAAATATCTCTATAATGTTTATATTTTTCTTCTTCTAATTTTATCATTAATGGCGCAGATTTACTTAATTCATTTTCATCATCTTTTCAATGCAACGTTAAAAAATCATATAATTTCATTTTATATTTGTTTTCAAGGCTAAAAATAGGTCATTTTTTCGAGGGGAGGAAATAGACCACTTTAATTGCTTTTCTGTTACCCTTATTTTATTGAAAATTGGTCACTTTAATTGTCTTTTTATCATAAATATATTTCAAGATTTATGATTTTATACTCTTAATACCGGAGGAAGTTCAGAGTACAAGTAAATTAGTTAGTGTTGTCAATGTTAGTAAGTTAAAAATATCAACCTTCTTTGGAGAAAGAGATAACTCATTTGAAGATATGTGCAAGTATTTATTGGGAGTATACACATTAAAATTACCCATAATTATATATTTATGTAAGTTGTATTTTTTAATGATAAAATGATAATATTTATACTAAAAAAATGGTATAGTATTTATTTTAATAAAAAATATGAGACAATTATGATATACGAATTTATTTTTTCTATGGGCGACAAAAATGTAAGACTATAAATAATTGATCTTTTATTTATTTTTTTATAAATAAAATAAAAAGTTAAATTTATCATTAAAGAGAGTCGCAATAAGAAGAAGCATAAAAATAAGGATGAATATTGTTATTTGTCCAAGATTTGTAAGAGATTTATTATAAAACTTAACTGTGTTTAAATTTATTTTCTATTAGACGATAAAATCATATAATATCAAATAGCATCCATAAATTTATAATAGAGAAGAATTAAAAATTATAGGCATGCCTGACGGGCCGAAACTATTTTTCCGACGGACCGATAAAATATTTACTTAAATTAAACAAATATTTGAGATAATATGTTTAATGTCTTCTGAATTTATAGCATATAACTTCTAAATTACTATCTTTATTTAATATTTATAACAATATTACACAATCATATAAACGCACAAGTTGATACTTATATCGGTTTTACGTGACCCGTGCGAATACACGGGTCCTATACATTTTTTAACTATCATTATAATATCTTTATTTTCTATTTATAACAATATTGCACAAACATGTAAACTCATGGGTAGATAATCCATTTTATAGATGTGTGAAGTGTATTAGATCATATACTCATATATTTTTCAACATAATTTGTATGTATATATCCTGATAACTACTACAATTTAATAAAGTTAATTAAAATTTATGTACAATCATAGTAGAAAGTTTTTTTTCTCTCTTAATTCATATATATATATATATATATATATATATATATATATATATATATATATATATATATATATATATATATATATATATATATATATATATATATAATCATAATTATATAATATTTATTTAATATTTATATCGATTTTACGCGACTCATGCGAATGTACGGATCATTTACTAGTTTAAAGTAAAATTAAATATAAATTATATTTAATTTATATTCTCTCACATCTTTTTTATAATCAATAACCAATCAGAATTGTTCTTACATTTTTCTAAACACTTTATTTCATTAAAATCACAAATTAAATAATTATACCTTTACTTTTTTTTTTTTAAATATATTTTTTTCTTTTCGTTTTTATATTTTAGAACACAAGGAGTATAATATACAAAGTTATTGACGTTGTCAATGAAGGCTTTATTTTCAGCAGTATACTGCTTCGGCTGCTGGCGCGTGGCAGAAAAGTCATAACGTGCCAATCTTCATGATGTAACGTAAGTAAATACTCTAGCTTTTATTTATTTTCACAGATGTCCTTATCCAGCACTTATTTATTTATTTAGGAGAAAAATATTAATAAAAATAAAAATAAAAATAAAAATAAAAATAGTTGACTATTATTTAATAATAATTATTATTATTTTCATGGGCCGTCACCTAGACCAGACTTTTTTCTTTTAATTCATTCTAAAAGACCAGACTTTTTCTTTTTCTATATCATTATAAATAGATTATAAGGATGAACCAAGAAAGGCACACCAAAGTAGCAAACAAAATTCTTATAACAATGGGGAGATCATCTTTTCTCTTGACAGTCTTAACAATTCTCATGTCTCTTTCAACTGGAATATCATCACAATCACCCGTTCAAAATTTCCTCAATTGTTTTTCTCATCATTCTCATGCTTCTAAAGTTATCTACACACCAAACAACACCTCATTTTTAACCATCTTAAATAAGAAAATGTTTCACAAAAAATTTCAAACAGTAACAACACCAAAACCTTTGGCAATTATAGCTGCAAAAGATGCTTCTCATGTCCAAGCAACTATTAAATGTGCCAAAAGTAACGATATCCAAATCAGAATTCGAAGCGGAGGCCATGACTACGAAGGTTACTCATATGTATCAGACGTGCCTTTTGTTATACTCGACATGTTTAATATCAATTCAGTTGATGTCAATTTACAAGAAGAAACAGCATGGGTTGATTCTGGAGCAACACTTGGTAAGATTTATTATAACATTGCAAAGAAAAGCAATTATCTTGCTTTCCCAGCTGGGGTTTGTTTTTCTTTAGGTGCTGGTGGCCATTTTTCTGGTGGTGGGTATGGAAATTTGATGCGAAAGTATGGTCTTTCTGTTGATAATATAATTGATGCAATAATCGTTGATGTCAATGGTAACATCTTGGATAGAAAATCAATGGGAGAAGATCTCTTTTGGGCTATAAGAGGTGGTGGTGGTGCTAGTTTTGGTGTTATTCTTTCATGGAAACTCAAATTGGTTCAAGTACCTTCACAAATTACTGTTTTCAATGTGAAAAGGAACGTGGATGAAGGTGCAACTGATGTTGTTTACAAATGGCAACTAGTTGCACCAAAATTGCATAAAGATCTTTTCATTAGAGTGCAACCTAATGTTGTTCAAATTGGTAATGAGACAAAAAATGTAGTGCAAGTTAGTTTCATTGGTCAATTTTCTGGAACAACCGAAAGACTTTTACTTTTAATAAGTGAAAGTTTTCCTGAATTAGGTTTGAAAAATAGTGATTGTTTTTCGATGCCTTGGATTAATAGCACTCTTTTTGCTTATGGTCGACCAATTGGTACTCCCCTTGAAGCATTGTTGGAGGGACCTCAAGCAGGTTATTTCAAAGGTCAATCAGATTATGTGAAGAAGCCTATTTCAAAGATAGCTTTAGAGTCTATATGGAAAAAAATGATTGAAGGGGAGACTTTGTTTATGCAATGGAATCCTTATGGTGGAAGAATGGGAGAGATATTGTCATCGCAGACTCCATTTCCCCATAGAGCTGGAAATTTATTCAAGATTCAGTATTTTAATAGTTGGATTGATGGATCTTCTGAATCTATTGAACGTCATGTGAATTTTTCAAGATCTTTTTATAAATTCATGACACCATATGTTTCACATTCTCCAAGGGAGGCATTTCTTAACTATAGAGATGCAGATATTGGTGCCAATCATCCAAGTAATACAACAAAATTTGACATTGCTAGAATTTATGGAAGCAAGTATTTCAAAGAGAATTTTGAAAGGTTGGTGAGTGTGAAAACCAAAGTTGATCCAAAAAACTTTTTCAGATATGAACAAAGTATACCTACAAGGACATATTAAAGAGATAAAAATTTTGGGTTGTACCAAATAAAAAGTCATAATGTTAGAGGCCCATTTTTAAACAGGATATAGGTGTATTTTCTTCGTTCAAATTGATGGCCCAATAATGTTTGTTTTTATAAATAACAATAAAAGGGGGGGGGGGGGGGGGGGGGGGGGGGGTGTATTTTTGTCATAAAGGCTCATTGTTTCTATTTTTTAGAATGGTACATTGAGTTTTAAGGTACATGAAGGTTTTGTTGGGGGTTGACCGTGCTCAACTTTCTAATTTTTCATTATATCAATTAATATTATTATTATCCAATTATTATTATTTAAATATTTCTTGCATTGTTATTATTATTGAAATTACTCAAATATTGTTATTATATTATAATTTTTATTGAGTTTTGTTGACTTGTTGACTGAGTCAACTTTAGGGTTTCAACTCCCATACTCATCTAGCGGCGACTGCTTTTCTTCTTCTTCGTTAAGCAACTCAAAGACAAGATCCAAAATTTTAGTTTGAATAAAATCAAATCGATTTCAGTATTGTAAAAGAGGCGTTTTTATTCATGAATAACAAATTCCATGATGTAAAGGAATGAAGAGAGAAGAGAGACAAAGAAAAGAGAGAGAGGGAGGATGGGTAGGAATGAAACGAAAATGTAAAGGAAAACGAACGATATAACTTGTTGTGATCCCATGATGTTCTCCTTGCCATGCACCTTCAGTCACAATCCTCTGATCTTGATCAAATTCCCCAAAATCGAGAGACCACGATAGCCCCATGTGCCTTACCACATACGGCTCAAGTGGACCTCACATATTCTCGTTTGGGCCTGAGCCCAACTCGTTTTAGCACCCCATGTTTTTATTCTCACTACTCCCCCATGCATTCCGGGCCAAGTCGAACATTTGGACTTGGGCCTTAAGTTCTTACACCCTCTAACTTTACTATCCTGTTATAAAACTCACCCCCTACACAACTGGGCCTAAATCCAATATCTTGATTTAGGGCCCTAATATTTACATCCCCCTGAATTACTAGCTAGCTGAATTTGCACCCCCCTGCGTTTTTAGAATAAACTTAATTTTTTTCATAATTTCATTTATCTATTCATTTCTTTATTTTTTATCATCATTTTTTGATTTATCACATTAACATACAATTTTGCATAATTAATAAATAATTGTAATATTTTTTCTATTAAAAATATATTTATAATAAATTATAATAGTTTTATTAGTTCAAATCTTTTCTAAAATAGTAACCCTTTTTATATATTTGCATTAAATATTTTTCTCATGCATTAAAATCTATTTTTCTCATATTGCATTGTAAACTCGAAAACATCTAACCAATCAAATACTAACTTTATTTTCTACTAACATAATTCAAACATATTTATTTTCAAAAAGGATTATGGAAACTTCTTCTATCAAACTACGAACTTCGTCTACAATTCTGCAATTTACAAACTCATACTTGGTCCAAGGAGAATTCGAGATATTTCCATTATCCATAAAAAACTAACCAAACAACTACAAACTATGAAATGGGACTCTGATTCCTTATAAGAGAGTACGTAGACATACGACTTAAAAATCATGGTGAGTTCCCCTAACTGAAAAATTAAAATCCTACTCCTAAATTTTAAATCTAAACCCTAATATCCTTATGAACAAGGTAGATGAAGGATGCCTAACACCTTCCCTTCGTCTAAAGTGAGTCAAGAACATAGAATCTTTGTATCATCAATTAAGGTTATTCGTTATATTTCTGTCTTAGGATAAAAATTAATGGTGGCGACTCTATTTTTTGCCGGTTATTACAGCTGGCGACTTCAATATGGACTCAACCCTAGGATTTTGAAGTCTTTTCTTTTGGTTTAGGATTTTAGGGTTTTATTTATCCTTCTACATTTTATTTATTTATTTACTTTTGTTCATTATTATATTATTATTATCTTTTTATCATTTGTTGGCGGGATTTCATTTCCAAAAAATGTTTTCAGAACCTTAGAAAGAAGGTTCGTCTATTGGCCAAAGAGATACACCATTCCTATAAGTTTTTTTGACGATTTCGCCTAGTGTCGGCGGAATTCCAAAAAAGAAATATGACTCAAGTGGTATCCTCTTGGAGGGTAGGACTTTTGAATAAAACCTATGACTTTTTGTATAACCCAAAACCATAAAACTCATGATGAGACCTTTTACGACCTTAGAGACGAAAGTTTTAGTCTACAAAGAGGCTCCGCTTAAGGAAGGCCCTTGTGTCTTTCCCTCTAGTGTTATCCATGATACCCTTTAGGAAACCACCTCATGGGGAGGGTAGAATATTCGTAGGCTGAAACTAGGAACCTACAAACTAAGGATACCTTTCATAAATCCCGTTACTATCATCATGCATTCATACATTTTATACCTCACATACTCATCATTTTCTATTCTTGTTATTTGTCTTATTCACAGGATTAAAAAAAATAACCAAAGTTTTTTTGATGAGTATCTTAAAAATGGATGTTAAAGGGAAACAACTTGTTTGTATTAGTGTCGTCAAGCCAGATATGACGAAGACCAAGATCATCAAAGGGAAACTTTCTGAAAGAGCTTTGAAGATGTTTGTTCGCTACTATGGGGATACTGTAACACCCCAATTCTACCCGATAATATGAATGTAATTCAGAGTTATAAAATTCATACAACTTAACCAGGATGCCACAAATTCGACTTATAAACCATTGAATTCAACATGGATACATAACAATTTAAAAATTCGGTTGAACTAACAACAAAATAAATTAATCTTTTAGATCAACAACTGGAACAACTACGCAACAAAATCATAATAACATCTTTATCCAACATTACAACAACTTCAAAATAACATATACTTAGCAACAATAAATTAAAGTTAAACAACTGGAATAACAATAACTAAAAGCAACAAGCGTTCATCCTCCTGAGTGTTACGTATCAGAGCAATGACACCGACTCGAACTACCGAAGGTATACTGCTTTCACTCTGGATTACCTGCACGTTACCAACGTAAGGGTAATATTCAAACAGAAGGGGTGAGATATCTAACAATATAATAAAACGTATGATAAATAATGTATTAAATCATATCACATGGTATCACCACTTCACTTCTTATAAACAAAAATAATCGCAACAGAACACCAACAATATACAACATTACCGTGTCAATACACAACTTCTTTATGCAATCATATAATGCGACTCAATGCTATGAAAATGCATGTGGTACCATTGGAGCAGAACTCCCACCTCAAAATAATTGCAAATAAATAGAGGCATCAACAAGGCATAAGCCTTCATCTTAATATTCTCCAATACATGCCATCTTAACGAGCATCAGCTCCATATTGATATACAATGTATGCGACACAATCATGAATGTAGTAACAACAACCACAACTAACAACATCATTATTGGCCATAAGCGTACATCTTAATAACTGCCAATTATTAGAGGCATATCAACATCATTCATCAACATAATTCATCAATATAATTCATCAACATAATTCATCAACATAATTCATCAACATAATTAATCAACATAATTCCACAACAACTCAACCATAACAACAATACAACGACAGATCGACAATCTCTCAATGTTGGCCATAGGTCTACAACATGACATTGCCAATGATTAATTAATCATCTAATACTTATCTCTAATTTAAAAACCTCTACATATTATTGTATTGTAATACTACATCATTATTATTATTATTATTAATCTTACTGTCATGAACCAAGCAATAATATAAAATTGTCTTATCCTCATCATACTTCACAAAATCATCATAGATATTAACACGGGAAGCTAACTCTAATCCTAATTTAGGTACTAGGATTATTCTTCTTATCCTTCATTTTAATCCTTATGAATGAAGTTCATCGCTTTAGCTATCCAACGCTTCACACGGCACCTCAAACGGAGTCCGGAAACTCAAGTTACAGCCTTTGGAAGAATCTGTCAAAAATTGGACTGCATGAGTCGACGCATACTTCTTTGAGTCGACGCATACTGGGTCTGGATACCTGCATGAGTTGACGCGTAATCCTCTTGTGTCTACTCTTATTAAGTCTGCAACACTGCATGTGTCGACGCATGATACTATGTATCGACTCATCCTGAGTCTTAAAACCTGCATGTGTCGATGCATGGCCTTTGAGGTCGACTCATACTGATATGTAATTAATATATTTTGCAATTTCATTGTGTTTTCACTGCGATTTCCCTGCCTTAGGACCTAAAAAAATCCTCTAATCATAGGTAATCATCAATTACAATAATCTTATATTTCTACATTAATTATACAACATTAGGGCATCATTATTCATCTCTAAATCATTGATCCTCATCAAACAACAATATATATATTTCAATCATAAACAAAACAACTTTTCAAATCCAATCCCATATACTACTCATCATAAACCCTATTATAGAGTCAGAACCCCACCCTTACCTTGGATTGAAGGTTGCTCTACAACTTTTCCGATTGAATTTCGCTCTGCCTCTTTTCCTCCTTTTCTGCAACTTTCACGTTCTCTTTCTCTCTTCCAACCCTTATTTTCTTTTCTCCTTACTGCTAATTCTTTTTCTTATTAATTCTAAATAACTAATATAATAACCCTATAATTCTCATTATGTCTTAATGGGCTTAAAACTCCTACACCCCCTTTCTACTACTTCCAGTCCTTAAAAATAAGCACACATCAAACAATAGTATTATTCTAATATTATTCCACAACTTAATAGAATAAATAAATCAAATTAATCACAACACAACATCTATCATCATAACACAACTTCGCAAATAATCCAAAAATAATTTAATTAAATAATTAATTAAATTACGGGCGTTACAACTCTCCCCCACTTAGAATATTTTCATCCTAAAAAATTTACCTTAATCAAACAACTCAGGATAGGAGTCCCGCATCTTGCTTTCCAACTCACAAGTCATGCTTTCTC